CCGTTTAAAACCTGTGGAGTAGAAACTTTCGGTCTGCCATTTCTACCGATATGATTAAAAGTATGGTATTTTTCATACTTTTGCTTGGTACGAACTACTGTTGAGTGGCAAATGCCAAACATTTTGGCCACCTCCCTTATCGAATGACCAAGCTTGAGAGTTTAAATTACTTGAGCTCGAGTCACCTTATCAAGTTGCTTAACTATGGTTGCCTTGATAAGCTTTTATTTATCTTTTAAAAAGGCGGGTAACCAATTTTATGAATGGGAATAGAGAGAATAAAGACGATCCTATTTAGGGATGAGACGAAATTCAACTTGTTTTACTCCGATAGCAAGTCCTTTGTGTGAAGAGAGCATGGAACAGGATTTCTGTCTCGACATATTGACATAACTGTAAAATATGGACGTGTAAGTGTAATGATGTGGGGATGTTTATCATATTATGGAGTTGGAAAGTTAGTGTTTATAGAGGATAAAATGGATGCTATTCAATATGTGCGCATCCTTTCCAATAACCTCTTTAAATCTGCTGCATCGATGGGTTTGAATCAGTTCATTTTCCAGCAAGATAACGACCCAAAACACACATCAAAGCTGGTATCAGAGTTTTTGAGAGAAAGAAATGTGGAATTATTGCCTTGGCTTGCTCAATCACCAGACATGCACCCAATTGAGAACTTATCTGGCATTATGAAGTCTAAAATAGGCATATTAAAGCCTAAAAATATCAACGAACTTAAAGATGCTATTAAGACGTCTTTGGCAGAAATAACCACGGATATGAAAACGAGACTGGATGAAAGTTTTCAAAAACGAGCTATTGCTCTTTATAAAGCCAAAGGTGAATCAGTGACATATTAAATGACTAGTGGTGCATTTTTTTAACGAAATAATTTAAAAATTGATAAAATAGTCTAAATTAAACTTATTTCGGAAAAACATAAATGCAAAATAATTTTTAAAAAATACAGTTATCTTATATATAATATCGACTTGTTTTAATTTTTGTCATTTAGACCAAAAAAAGGGTGGTGCGTTTTTTTTAACCAACTATATATATATATAAATATATAATATATAGCTATGCATTAACACAGTTTTCATTATCTCCGCTTTTATAGAGGTTTTACCTGAAGCCTTTCCTATGCTCACCTGAAAGGTCAAATTCCGTCATTGAGTCCACAGCCAAAAAATCTCTTTTCATCTGATATAGCTGCTAACAATTAGGAAGCTATCCTTGTTTGACGAGTCTACAGGGATCACCTAGTATCCCATTTTTGACCTGTAAATCAACACATCCCATTGTATGGTCGAGATGAAGACTTTTCCCACATCTGGCTGACAATTTATTTGCTCAGCAAGAGATTGGGAAACCTTTACTCTTCATCTGGTCGAAAATAGTTCTATGAGAGGTATTCATACTATTTCGTTTAAGACCGCCTGTCCTTACTTCCATAGCTCTAATGTATACGGATATTTTCTTTCATTTAATCAAATGAAATGAAAATAAATTCACATCTAAATGTGTAAGCTTTATTTTGAAATCCGCCAAACATCAGTAGGCGTAACTCATTTTGACTAACCTGGTGCCGGCTGAAGGAAGTTCTTGGCTTCTTCCGCTTCGGCTGGGTCCGACTTTGGTAAGGGTGTCCTACTCGACGAGGGTCTAAAAGCAACAGAAACAACACGATGAGTCAAGCACGTCCAAAGGATACGATAAAAATAGTGTTTTCTCTTTTGATTAGTCACGCCCGGTCTTCCTGTGTTCATTGCGAATTACGGCCAAGTCTCTTCATTAATCTTATTTAGACATGAATATGTACCAAAAGTTAGTTATATGCATCACACTTAATGAGTGAGGTAGATAATTGTTTTTAATCATAAATCTATCTGGGCATTATTATTATGAAAGCGATTGCTCATCAAGCAGTAGATTTCTGTTTCGACATTAACTAGGCCACTTTGGCACTCTCAGAGGGGACCAAACACAGGTCGTATCAGACTAAGCTGGAAAAGTGTTGTTTCCCGAAAAATTGGAACCAAGACCATTAAGCTGCCTCATTTCAAATCAGCTCACAATTTGTTGGAAGGTATTTATATGGCATTTAAAATAATTATGAA